TTTCCGATCATTTTACAAGCTATATATATATATCACAATTCTCTGTATTACATCAAAAGCGTACATGTGATTATTCAGCTCTGCACAGCCTTGAGTAGTAAATTATGTAAAAATACAAAGTTTTTGTTTTTTTATGCATGTACGCATGCGTTAACAGTTAACAAAAACACGATTCCATCTTAACTGACTGTAACAAAACAATGTAAAATTATACCATTTACACGTAACTATTAATAGTATCATGTAAAAATGTCTGCGGTCATAGCACGCATTGGAGGTATTACGTCTATCAGACATTAAAACAACAGATGCAAAACTACAAAGCAAGCTACAGATTCAATAAGGTGTTATAATCTGGGTGCTGAAACCCACAACGTCTCAGATCCCTCTACCACTCAACGTATATAGCGGGTTGTGGGCATGATAAAAACATAAAAACATAAAAATAGAAATCTGATATCATCAAATAGTCAGGTTACTAGATAGGCATTTGTATAATATTCGCACCGAATATACAATTTTTTGAAACGCATGTATTTTCTTTTGTATTTTTACAGTTTCGTGATTAATCAATCTAATATTTTTTTTACATTTATTTTTTCTCAAATATACTCCAATCTCTACGATGTTCTAATGGTTTTGAGAATTTAGTAAGTTTCCGATTAAATTGTCAAGTTAGATTTTAATCAAGATACTTTTTAAACCTACCAAGGTAAGTGTGGAAAATAAGAGGATCAAAACTCTCCAGCAAGTTACACGAGGGTTCATTTTCTTTTTAGGATTTTCCCTTGTCTTCTGCACAATAACCATCATCATATTTTGTTAAACTGTTTAAGAATACTGACAAAATCCATCCTCAATAAAGCAATTTATAGACACTTTGTGTCTCACGAAAATATTATTATAAACACTAATTTGTTATTTTGTTTGCCATGGAAACGTTTTCTGTTAGACGAATACATGTTTAGAATACGGTTATTTCGAAATATTATGGAATGGGCAGTCTTTAAAAAAAACAACTAAAAACAAACAAACGTTGTATATTTGAATTAATGACTGTTAATCAAACACACATCGTACGTGACATTTCATCCGTTTTAAACCTACCAATAAGAACCTAGCAATCCAAATGCGATTCGTGTGAAACAATAATGAACGTTGCTATGGTTTGTGTTTTAATTCCACGGTGAACAACACAGTACTGCTTGTATTTACTAACATTAACTTGTTCGGGCCGACTTTAATTATAAGACAAAACGACAGCTGTTTTAGACCAAAATTAGCACATCAAAAGCTTCTGCGTTGGTTTGTACCAAGAACATTATCTATATGTGTATTTACCTTTCCTAAAACCAAAAAGATTAAGTATATAAAACATCATTCTGTATGTAAGCTAAAAATTCATAAAATTGCGTTGTTTAACTTTACTGTTGCTGGTTCTCTTGCAACTGCTGTTGTCTCTCTTCTTGTTTCTTTTCTTTTTCCTCCAACCACTTGCTGTAATATCTGTTCTTGTTTATTTTCTCGTTCGAGCTGCCACTGTTGCAGGTTTCTTGCAACTGCTGTTGTCTCTCTTCTTGTTTCTTTTCTCGTTCTTCTTGTTTCTTTTGCTGTTCTTGTATTGCTGCCATCAAATCTGCTTGTGTTCGACTCAACAATACGTCTCTCTCTGTCCGCAGTTCAATTACACACACACATTGTTGCCGTCACGTCTTGGCCGTCTTATATGTACAAGAATATGAATCTAGTAACCTCTCGAGGTTTCATGAACGTTCTAGAAGTGCATGACGTGTTACTAGGGTCACGTGACCTCCGCTGTCGTAACAATATATTTGGTACGTTCAACCTGAACCACATGTTGTTTCAGTGGAACTTTAGGCATCGTTGGCCTTGAAGAAGGCATCAGTATAGATACCGAAACGTCGTCCTATTTCATTCAGTAGGCAGTTGCAGGCCTTAAAAGTTATCGTATCAACGACATCTTAAGAAACACGTGAATTAAACTGTCAGGTGGCAACAAGGTTCAGTACATCTCCATTCTTAATTTGGAATAGTTGATCAGAGGGAAGATAACCAGTCAGAACTATTCGACTCCTACAGGATACTCTGAATTTAATAGCGGGACTGGCTTCACTTTTATAATGCTAAAAGTCATGTTCAGCGAGATATCGCGACTATATCTGAACCGTATAGGCGCTTATCCCAGATGTACATAAGGTTGAAAATTGAAATTTTAATAGTATAAATATTTTATATAGTTATATATTAATGTTTTCTAAGAATGAATTTAGCACACCATTGTATCATTCAAAAAAAAGATGTGTTTTTTGTTTTACTGTTGTTACTTTCCTGGGTTTGCACAATTTTGTTTTTTGTCTCCCCAAATACACGGTAGAAATTTTACTGTGTTTGTAAAATAAACAGATGAGATTACAGCAGTTGTTGGAGGAAAAAGAAAAGAAACAAGAAGAGAGATTACAGCAGTGGCAAGAAAACCTGCAACAGTGACAGCTCGAACAGCAAAATAAACAAGAAGAGAGATCACAGCAGTTGTTGGAGGAAAAAGAAACAAGAAGAACGAGAAAATGAACAAGAAAAGAAACAAGAAGAGGAATTGCAGCAGTTGTTGGAGGAAAAAGAAAAGAAACAAGAAGAGAGATTACAGCAGTGGCAACTGGAACAAGGAAGGAAACAAGAAGAGAGATTACAGCAGTGGCAACTGGAACAAGGAAGGAAA